GACACTGGGGCTGCAAAAGGTCGCTGCTTGTCACCGAGCTGGTCAGCCCTGGGCAAGCACGGCTTCTTTCCCCAGCTCCCCGCCGACCTCGCTCGCTAGCCTGTCAGCCTCCCTGAAGCAGCTCTGGGAAACTCAGCAAATTCTGTCTCCCCAAAGATCCCCCTACCCCATGGCCTAGTCCCTAAAGTCCCTCAGGGCCTCCAGGGAAGCAGAGAGCTTCCCAACACTGCTCAGCTTTACCCTTCCAAGTATTCTTAATTATGCATTTGTTGGATGAATGACACATCTGGAAAAAGGGGCTGTAAAGTCAATCTAGAAAACACAATGAGCTCAGCAGGACCTGAATTGTTTTTGTTTTGTTCATTTGTGCAGATTCTCTAAGTAATTATTCATCCCTTTGGGGCAGGGGAGATAGCTCAGCAGTCCCAAGTCTTGAGTTTGACTCCTGGTACCAAAAAAAAAATTATTCATCCCTTTAAATTCAACTTTACACGCAGGCTGATGGTGTATCCTCATAAGCCCAGTACTCCAGGAGGCTGAGGCAGGAGGACTGCAAATTCAAATACAGCCCTGGCAATGCAATAACTTAACAAGAGGCCATCTCAACATAAAAAATTAAAAAAAAAAAAAAAAAAGAGGTAAAGCATACAGCTCAAAGTAAAGGTCTTGGGGTTCCATCCCCAGAACCAGAAACAAAAATTTATACTTCACAGATACTAGGCTATTTGCTAAAGTAGCACAGGACTAACTAGCAGATGTTGTATAAGCCATGTATGTAACAACTTTGTGAAGCAGCTTCAGCTGGTGGGAGAATAACAGTCACCAGCTCTCTGGGAGGCTGAGGCAGGAGGATCCAAAGCTTAAGCCCAGCATGGATAACTCAGCGATTTAGCAAAAACCTTGCTTCAAAATAAAAAGCAAAAAAAGAGACTAGGGACAAAGTGACATTTGAAGGCCCATCAAAGAAACCATAGGTTTGGACACCTCACTCATCTCTGGGCCTTGGGGTCCTTATCAGGAAAAAAGGAGGATTGTTTTATCTCCAAATGACCTTTTGACATTCTTGGTTAGTGGTTTGGGTTTTTTTTTTTTTTAAAAAAACAGGGCCTCACTATGTACCTTCAAACTGGCCTTGAGCTCAAAGCAATCCACTTGCTTCAGCCCACTGAGTGTTGGGATTATAGGCCTGAGGTCCCACGCCCAGCCCAGCTCAAAGTTCTTTGAAACACACAGACACTCAGGTCCTATCAGATTTCCAAAGACTATCAGAATTTTCAAGAAATGTCATTTGTCCACACTCGTGTCTTCTTTTCATCCTAAAAATCCACAGTATGGTTGCAGTCCAGCTCTCTGTGGACTGACAGGAGGTCAGATGTAGCCAGCAAAATGTGTCCCCCACTCAAGGCAAGGAGCAATTACAATCTTCACTGACTGGTAACTCTGGGCATGAAACTGGCTCCAGCGCAGCCCGATCACCCGTCTCCCCTCCAGCTCCCTGGGAAGCCCCAGGAACAGGACTTAAAGCAGGTAAATAACACAAAGCTACAGCAGTGAAGGTAGGAAAAATTAACCAAGCACGCAAATCACCAAAACACGGGGCCAAGAGTACAGCTTGCCGGCATGGCACCTGTTTGGCAAGCGTGGGGTCCTGGGTTCAACTCCTGATTCCAGAAAGAAAAAAAAAACCCATAAATTCATATACATAAATTATGCAGTAATTTAAATATGCAGAAGTAAGTTACAGGTGTGGCTGGGGATTTAGCTCAGTGGCATACGCACCTGCCTGGTAAGTACAAGGTTGTGAGTTCCTTCTGATACCACCACCACCAAAAAAAAAGTTACAGGCAAGAAGGCAAATGCACTCCACATACTTTGATGAGCTTCAACTTCCGGAACTCTAATCTAGCACAACATGACACTTGACAAAAAATAAATTTCTTTTTCTCCTTGACTCAGTAACTCTATGCAACAGCGTTCCCTTTCTATCCAGAAAACTATACTTCTATCACAGCAAACCATGAATATGTATGAGTATTTTACACAGTAAGCATTCAATAAATACTTCTTGAATTAATGAATAAATTTACCCTGTCTAATGATGTCTGCTGTGAATTTTAAAGATCCTAAAGAGGAAGCAGAGGACAGTGCTGTATCTGACTGATTGCACTTGGTAAGAATCCAACATACCATCAATTACCAGTGCTTTAAAATGCCCATCTTGACCTTGACTAGTTTCTGCCATAGAATTATTTATTGTTACAAACACTACTTGAAAGCTGAATCAAGGAGCCAGGTGTGGTGGCATACTCCTGTAATCCCAGCACTCTGGAGGCTGAGGCAGGAGAATCACTTCCAGTTGGTGGTCAAGTCTCTTCTACATAGTGAGGAAGTTCAAGGTCAGCCTGAACTGCATGGCGAGAACCTGTGTCAAAACAACAACACAGAACCAAACCATTTCAGCCCCTTGGTAAGAACTATGAGCGACCAGGCTGATACGCAAATGAAACCTCAATTAGAGTGGAAACATTAAGCAATACTGAACATATACCAAAGGATCACCAAAAGAAAAATAGGTGTGAAACAACTACACACACAAGACGGCCTGAGATCTACAGGAATTCAATTTACAGATTTAACAAGCTGCTATGAAAAGGTCGAGAGCCAAACCAGGCATGGTGCCAGGAAAAGAGGGCTGAGCATGTAACAGTGTGAAGGTCCTGGGTGCATGGTCCAATATCACCAAAAAATAAATACAACAAAACATGGAGTTACCACGTGATCCAACTGAAAACAATACACGAGCAAAAACTCACAGCATTGTTCTTCACATCCCAAAGCCTAATGTCGTACTGATGGACGGATAATTCCATACATCCTCCTGCATGGTCACACACATAACACTAAGGCCTCTGCAGCCACTTGAAATACGACTAGCAAACTCTCAGACCCTCACTTACTTATTACTAACAAAATAAATTTCGATTCAGCCAAAGAACATAATACCTTGCAGCCTGTGAGGAAAGAGCTGTAGGGATGGCGCAGATTTCTAGAAACTCAGAACATGCATAAAGAATCCAAGAAGAAAAAATGACTAAGAAGGGAAACAGTATTAATACAGGGCTGATCAACAAAAGTATTTAAACCTGAAAAATGTATTACATTTTTCAGTCACATGGGGCCGGGGATATACAGCTCAGTAGCCTAACCACCTGCTAGGCAAGTACAAGGTCCTGAATTTGATTCCTGATACCATTAAAAAAAGCAAAAGGCACATTGCCCTCAGTACCCCTCTAGGTCCTCCCCATTACTTCGAATACACTCATCCCATCCTTCTTGCCACTTGCTGCAGCAGTTGGAAATCTTTTCATGTCTTTACAAGTTTATAATGAACAAAAATTAAGGAGTCAATGGTTGGGGGCTTGGGATTTAGCCCAGTGGCAGAGGTGCCTGCTGGGCAAGAACGAGATTATAAGTTGAATTCTCATATCATAAAAAATAAATAAATAAAAAGAAATCAATGGTTTTGAGGAAAGCAAGTTGGGAAGGCAGGACCAGTGGTCTATTGCTAAGCACAAGGCCTCAAAGCCTTCCCCACAAGACTAATAAAAGTTAAAAGTAATCTGAACTCTACAGCCAGTTACTTTGTTCTGTGTATTATCACCCTAAAACTCACGTGTTTTAACGGCATTTTTCCAAGTAACCAAGACTATCACTGAAGGACACCTGGAGAAACTGACCACAACCCTTAGTCACTCAGAGCTACCGTATCTTGGGTCTGGTACCTTCCACTACCCGCCCTTGTAACCTAACAGCACTTTTATATTATTTATGATTTTATATTAACTTAAAATGAACCTTGGTTTCCAGGCTGCCTATCAATCTGACATACACTTCCTACTGCACTTTTGTGTTTGCCTAAATATTTGCTTAATGAATGTTCTCACCTTCAGCTTAACTGGCTTATCAAAGGGTAAAGGCAGGGGCGGGAAACTTGTTTATAAAAACCTCACAAGTAGCCAGGCGCGACAATGTGCGCCTGTAATCCCAGCATTCTGGGAGACTGAGGCAGGGGGATCCCAAATCCAAACACAGCCTGGCCAATTTAATGAGCCTCTCTCAAGAGAAAATGAAAAAAAGAAGAGGGCAAAAAAGAAAAGAAAATGAAAATGAAATCACGCCGAGGTTGCCAGGATCCAGCACACTGCGAATCCCTTGATCCCGGGAGCCGGTCCAGCGGTTCCACCGCGCACCAGCGCACACCAATCGCTCAGCCGATGCCCTCGCCCCTCCCGACAGACCCGTAGCTGCACGCCTGGGCTTCCCCGGTCTCCTCGGCGGCAGGACTCGCGCACTCGGGCACCATCACCACAGGCTGCCGTCCCGCGAGCTCGGCCGGCCCGTTTTCCACAAAGTGACAACTCTGGGCGGGCGGCACGCCGGCTGACTGGAGCGGACGCCTCCGACGCGACACCCCCGTGCCTTGGGGAGCACCGGGGAGGGGCCCGGGGCCTGGTGGGCGAGGAGGTGTCGGCGCGGCGGCGGGGGGAGCGGAATGGCTGGGAGATCGGTCCGGGGTATCCGGCAGCGCGCCGCCCGCAGGCGCTGGCCGGGCCCGCGCCTGGAAAGGTGACCCCGGCGGCCGGGGGGAGGGGGCTCACCGGTGACGTCCAGGTACAGGTTTTCGCGGGGCTCCGCGCGGCGGCTCCTCTTCCCTGCGCGCGCGGCCGCCGAGCAGCGCAGCGAGCAAGGGGGCGCGGCCCATCCCGGCCGCCGCTCGCCCTTCCGCTTCATGGAGGCGGCCGCGGCGCGTCAGGGTGTCGCCACCATGGCCCGCGCTAGCCCCGCACACGCACAACGACGACGCCCCCGCCCCCAAGGCCAAGGGCGCCGCTGCTGCGGGCTGAGCCGCGCGGACCAGCTCTTCGCGTCGCGGAGCCCGGGACCCCAGGACAAGGCTCCGCGGCGCTTCATTCACAAAAAAAGGCCCGCGGCCCTCCCCGGGGCCCGCCGCCCGGCGCTCCTGATTGGCCTGCACTGTGTGACGTCACTGGCACGGGGCCTCGCCACAGGCAGGTATGCAGTGACGCCATAAAGAAATCGGAGCGCCTCGGCCAATCCGCGGCGAAGTGTGCGGGCGAACCCCCACCCCCGGCCGACCCCACCCCCGTCTCCCGGGCGACCGCCCAGAGCCTGGGTTCCCAACTTCCAGATCTGCGAGCTCTGCCGGCGGTTCTCTGCCAAGGTCCTGCCAAGTTGGGTTCTCCGTGGTATTCGCGCCAAGCGAGAGACCCTCCAGGGCTGCCGGCGTGCGAAGGAGCACTGGCTGGTGCGATCGTGAAACCGTACAGAGACAGAGCTGATCTCAGATTTTAGCACCGCGCAAATCTGCTGCGCCAGGTTCCCCAACCTGCAGACCGACTCACAGGGCTCTTGAAGGTACCGCTTAGAGGCCCTCACCTCGAGTCCAGTTCCCCGCTTAACTGCGATCTCATGCATCGGTACTGTGTACAGCTAGGACGTCCGCGGGTGTGATTGTACCAAGGGACACGTCTAGTCCTGGAAGTTCTGTCTTACGAAGTGTATGCCTTTCTTTTTGTATTGGGTTAAAGTAACATTTGATCTTTCTGGAATTTTAACCACAACTGTCATTTTGAAGAGGCTTTAAACAGATCCTATGGTAGCGTCTTTTTAAAAGGGCTAGAAAACCGCAAAGGCAGTCTTTATTTAGGGTGCGTGTTCCCAAATCTGCTGGATGGTCCCAGTTTTCACTGGCACTTAGACGCCTTACGCTGCAGTGCTGAGGTTCCCTCCGGCCTTCGGGAGAGGGGAATTTGAGTCCGTCCCCTAGGAAGCCTATCGGAAATGCAAATCTTCCTGACTTCCTTGGGGAGGGGCAGCTTGAATTTCTATTGTTGTGGACTTTCCCTTTAAACGCTGCTGAATGTGTCTGGAGCGGGCTGCCCCCTCACTCCCTCAGTCCGGAACTACTAATCCCAAATCCCAGAGGGCTTTTGCTTAAATTTGCGACTGTACTGTGTTCGTGTTCGATCTTCCCTTGTTTCCCTGAAGGAGGTCAGGGAAGGCCTTAAATTAAAAACTGCATATGAGTCTGTAGGGGCAGCAAAACACTGGAAAACTTGGAATGTGTGGGGGAGCTGTGTAGGTGAGACTCAGTGACCTTGGGTCGTAAGTGCTTTGACCGAAAGGAGGCCCTTATTGCTGCTTTGCGAGGCCACCCAGCACCCTAGAACTACAAAACTACAAGTATCCTGGGACATTCCGTTTTTTGAGAATGACTTGCTTAAATGTCACCCTGTAAGTGCCAGGTTCACTGACATCAGTTCATATTCTTTCATCTTTAGTATTTGGAAGGTGCTGGGGATTTAGCTCAACACATAAGTGTCTGCCTAGCAAATGCTAGGTTGTGAGTTTTATCTCCAGTACCAGAAAAAAAGTGTTTGGACTGGTAATTCTAACAGAATCTATGATTTAAATAAAAGAAAAAAATTCATAAATAATAATACCATTAAGTATTTTTATATTGCTAGGTGTGGCTGTGCATGCCTATAATCGTAGCACTCAGAAGACTGAGGCAGAAACATCATGTGAGTTAGAGGCCAGTCTAGGCCACATAGTAAGTTTCAGGTCAGCCTGAATTACAGATAGGGACTCTGTCTCAAAAACAAACAAAACCAAAAAAACTTTTTTTCATATTTTGCAAATGTATAGTTTTACAGTTTTTCTTCAGGTAATGGTCATTAAGAAATAAGATAAATATACTTTGTAATTATGCAGCATATCTTCCTTTTTTGGAAACATCCTACATGCTAAGTATACATGTTAAATTTATGCTTGATTTTGGCTTGGTTTTTTGAGATAGGTCTTGCTATGTAGTTTAGGCTGACCTTGAAATCACTAGATAGCCCAGGCTGGCCTGGAATTCACATCAATCTGCTTGTCTCAGCCTCCCAAGTGCCAGGACTACTTGGCCCTCATGTTAAAGTTTTAAACCTTCTTTATACTTTGTTTTTAGGTCACTTTTCAATAGTGGCAGAAAAGTGCTACGTATTTTTTAGCTGATATGTTTTTGTGGGTGACTTATCTTTTGAAAAGGTTCTCTCTATGTAGTCCAGACTGGTCTTGACCTCTATGTGGCCTTCTTGCCTCAGCCTCCTAAAGGTTCGGATTATAGGGACACATCACCATACCCTGCTCTGTGGGGTGCTTCTTTTGAACAATTTGACTGTCCTCTTCAGTAACTTGACATCTAGGATCTGAGAATTTGACCACAGAAAGTATGCTTTAGATTGCTTACTGGAATGATTTCTAACTTAATATTTCACCATGGATAATAAAATTCAGAGCTTGGAAAGCACCTAGACAATCACTGGTTTGAGACTGTCATTTTCATTGGGGGGTACCATTGGATAGCACATACTAGCCAAGCTCGAGTGAGAACCAAACACACTCCAGGTTGTCTACCCCTGAGCTGCCTGGGTTTAGAGAACACATGTATCTGCTTGTGATTCTAACATCATAAGCAAGGGTGAGCGTGCTGGCACACACCTGTAATCCCCACATTTGGGATCATCAATTGTTCAAGGCCAGCCTGGAGTAAATGGCGAGACCTTGTCACACACACATAAAGAAAAGAAAAGAAGAAAATGAAAACTTACAGGCAGCACCCTGAACAAGCTAAAGAAAAACAAAAAAGGAAAAAAGAGCACAGAAACACACTCAGCTCCAAGAATGAGGGGTTAGCACCGTTGTTCTCAGGGGAGAGCTCCTGACATCCGATGACCTCCAGAGTTGGATGAGATTTTTCTGAGTGCTGGGATTACAGGTGTGTAACACCACACACCAGACTTGGAGATTAAGTCTTTTTTTTTTTTTTTTTTTTTTTTTGTCTTTTTCGTTTTTATCAGTACCAGGGATTGAACTCACGACCCCACACTTGCAAGGTAGGCGCTTATGCTACTGAGCTAAATCCCCAGCCCCCAGGAGACCCAGTCTTTAACATACAGGGGCATACTGGACTGTCTTGGTTTTTTTTTTTTTTTTTTTTTTTGTCTTTTTCCTTTTGATCGGTACCAGGGATCGAACTCAACGACTGCATGCTTGCAAGACAGGTGCTTATGCCGCTGAGCTAAATCCCCAGGCCCAAAAGTTTTTTTTTTTTTTTTTTTTTGACTGGACTGTCTTCTGATGGGATGGCTGTGAGTGCTCCTCCAGTCTGGATGCACCACGTGGGGCGCCCACACCCTCCCTTTTTTTACCGCTGGAAATTGAAGCCAGGCGCTCCACACTGAGCACCTCCCCAGCACTTTTTAGTTTTCATTTTCATTTTCAGATAGGGTGTGTTGCTAAATCATTAAGTCGCCCAGGCTAGCCTCTAATGAACTTGCAACCCTTGTGCCTCAGCCTCCCAGAGTGTGGGGTGATGGGTGTGTACTACTACACCACCACGGCCAGCTGGTCCCCACCCTGACTGTCCTGTCCACTGTGAGGTCCTCACCTGAGTCCCACAGTCTCTGGTATCATGCTCTTGAACCCCAAACTGTCACCTCAGTAAACCTATTTTCTTTATCAGGTATCCAACCTTATGTTCGAGCAACATAAGAAAAGGGACCAAGCACTGGCCAGAGGGCCAGGAGGACAGAGTCCAGCCTCAGCTCAGCCCGCCCCAGGTGGTCCTGCCCTGCCCCCTCTCTGATCCCTGTGTCAGCTTGGGAAATAGATCTCCAGCTCTCTCCTCAGGACACTGGGACTTGGCTGTTCTCTCATGGATTCTTCAGCACTGCCTAGGATCCAAGCGGTGTCTCTTTGCCTTGGGCTCCGGCTGCCGGGCCAGCACTGCTGTTCTCCCACTGGGCTGGAAGACAGTGGGATGGCCGCTTTTGCAGTCATCAGCTCAGGTCATTGGATCCTTCGAAGGTGAGAACAGCTGCCTTTACCCTCACTGTGCATGGTCCCCCTGCTGGGGGTCAGAGGACAAGAATGACATCCTTGGCTGGCCTCCCTGCCTCCCCACCAAGGAGAGGAGCATCATCAGTTTCAGGTCTCTTCTGCAGTTCTGCAAGTATAAAAGCTATTTATTCTTTATCTCCTGAGGTGCTGGGGGAGAAAAGGCTTTGCAAAGACTCTTCTGGCTTTGGAAAAGAACGAGGTACCGATTCCAAAGCACGGGGGTGATTTCTCTTTTCCTAACAAACGTCTCCAGGTACGAAGCGGGCCCAGCTTCCCCTGCATCTCCCCAGGAAAAGGCAGGTAGGGAGGACAGAGGCTCGGCTGGAGCGGGCTGGCTCCTCCACAGCAGTAATTTCCTTTCTCCAGTTTTGAAAGCAGAGTCAAGTGATTAGCCCAGAGTGAGGAGATATGGGAAGGAAAACCCAGAAGGCTGGGATGGCCTGTAATACAGGCAATCTGTTTCTGGAAATCGTCAGCCAGAGGTAGTTGTCATTGAACAGTGTGTGTGTAAAGAAGAGCAATTATGCTTGCAATTATGTTTACATGTTAGCTTCATTAGTTTGTGCATCATTACACATTATATTTTAAAGACATAAATATAATTTAAGTACAAGATGTTGCTCAATGGTATAGCACTTGCCTAGCAATGAGTATGAGGCCCTGAGTTTGACCTCCAGTATAAAAAAAATTAAAAATAATACAAAGGCTGGACTCCATTAAAGAATGGTGTTCTCAAGAAAGAAAAATTTCAGTAGGTTTTTTAAAAAGTATTTCAGCCATCTAAGCATATACCTACAATACTAGCTACTCAGGAGGCTGAAGTGGGAGAATTTCAAATTCAAGCAAAAGCCTGGGCCATTTAGCAAGATTGGTTCAAAATAAGGTTTATAAAGTGGTGGCTTATAGCTCAGGACAGAGCACTTTCCCAGCATGCCTGAATTTCTGGGTTAAATTTCCATTACTAAAAACAAGACAAAAACCTATACCCCTGCCTTGTATCTACCTCCCAATATAACATTAAAACACATTTAGGAAAATCGAAGTGAAGAATTTGAAAACTAGATTTTCTTTAGCCAGCATGCCTGACTCCTGGACCCTGCTGCCCAGTAAACTTTCCAAATGACAAACCTAACTGTATCATTTTATTAATTAAAATGCTTTCCCCAGTGAAAGAGCATCTGCCTGATTTTCTCTTCTGTATCATTCTATGTATTTTTTTCTTTTGGGGTACCAAGGTTTGAACCATTCTATGTATGTTAGAGTGACCCTTATTTCCTCTCTGTCTGTCTTTCTGTCTCTGTCTGTCTCTGTCTCTGTCTAACACGGTCTCACTAAATCTCTAAACTGCCTAGGCTGGGCTCAAGCTCATGCCCCTCCTACCTCAGCTTTGAAGAGTCCTGAGATTATAGGCATGTGCCACCCTGCCAAGCTTGTGCTTTTTTGGGGCTGCTTCAGTTTGAAAATTTTCACACCTAAAGAAGAATTCAAATGAGGGTTGGGGATTTAGCTCAGCGGCATAAGTGCCTGCCTTGCAAGCATGTGGTTGTGAGTTCAATCCCCAGTACCGACAAAAAAAAAAAGAAGTATTCATTTGGGGAGAAAAGTTTAATTTCTGAACCATCTGGCAATATGCTGCCAGGATCAGGACCTGTAGCTCCTGAGAACAGTACCACACTCTTGTGTAACTACAATGTCATTGTCAAATGCAGGGCATGAGGGGTGTGGAGGTATACTCCACCACTGTAATCCCAGTACTGTTGGAAGCTGAGGCAGGAGGATCGCAAGTCTGAGCTCCACCTGGCCAATGGAAGACATAAGACCCTCTAAAATAAAAAACAAAAAGGGCTAGGGATGTAGCTTAGCATGAACTGTGTTCAATCCCCAGTTAGCCCCCCCCCCCACACACATACACACTCAGAAAACACATCACTACAGTATGACTTAGTCTTTCTTCATGTCTCACTAAATGTCCTAAAGATGTTTTCCCCCTTATTCTGGGAAGCAGTCCTGAAGTTCCCCAGGACCAGCCTTGGGATGTGGGCTGCCACAGAACAGCCCTGTGTATTAGCCTGCCAGGCCCACGCTGGCATTGATTCTGTTGTGGGCGATTCATTAACCGTGAGCTGCGGCTCTCCATGCAGGGTCTGCCAGGTGCAGCCTCTGCCAAACTACCATTTTTCTCTTTGAAATGAATCATTTGTGGGAAGACATTTTAGGACCATAAGCAATGGCACACTGATTTGGTACACGACGATTCAGAGTCAGTTGTTGCTATGAGTGAGAACTGTGGTATCTTTCTGACTCTTTTCTACATTATTCTGTGAAAAGAAGAGCTGTCTCTCTTCTTTTATGTAGGTAGATACGTATGTAGGTGGACAGGTGGAAAGATTAAGGATTACTTAATTACTGTTCTGCACAATAGATTACCATCCCTTACTGTCATTTATGTTTTGGGATGCTCAACTTGTCCCAGATTTGAGTAGGGTGCAGCAGCAAGCAAAAACACCCAAACAACACCCAGGACATGGAGGCAGGTGTATTTGTTTATTTGCATTGACAGGCACTGATTGGGACTATTTCCAAAATATTGGGCCCTCATCTCTGGTGGTCTCGGGCTTATATGGGATGAGCAAGCAGGAAGCACAGTGGGAGAATGGCTGTTCAGTTCAGGGCTGGTTTACACAATGTGTATCATAGTGACCAGCCGTTTCTAAGAAACAGAAGCAACTGGAACTGGAGCAGGAGCTATCACTTGGGCAATTAAGAAGCTGAAGAATACTGTCCGGGGTACATTTCATGTTACATTCCCTCCCCTACTCCTTTTAGTTTTCTCAGCAAATCTTTGCTGGGCATATTACACCTGGTCTTCTGAGACAAGGCTTAACCAGAAGCAGTGACCTTAGTTAGGGTTGTCAGTGATCCCAGGCTGGGCCCGAGCCAAGCTCCCCAAGATTACCTTATTACACAGTTTTTTCTTAAATTGTTTTTAGAAAGAGATATAATTTAGGCCTGTCTGTTCTGTAACATTACCCTGGCAAGGCAGTGAGGGAGTAAATGTGATCTCAGAGCAAATTTTGGTCAAGTGTTTCATTGTTCTATTCTCTTGGAGCAACCATCCATAGAGTTTGAGGCAAAAACCACAGCTAGCAGGGGAGTGGAAGCAAGAACTGGGGTGTGTAGCCTGAAAAGACACAGGAATTGGGGGGAACCGATGTCCTCAGGCTTCAGCTGCTCAGCATCCAGAAGGACCAGAGCAGGTCTCTTAAGTGCACCTCAGAGGAGCTGTCCAGGTAGATTTCTCAGTGAACCTAGGGCTGGATTTCTGAAACTTGCAGAGGTAGTTACTATGCACCAGGATTATATACATGTGAGTTATGAGCTGTTTTTAAACTTTTCCTGGCCTGAGTGCTGTATGTGGCTTTTATTTAACCTGGTTTTTGAGTCACCTCTGCTGCAGACACAGGCCCTTTGCCATGGCCAGGGATCAGGGCTAGGCCATATTCAGGGGTGATTTTTTACAGCAGCACTCTACAAACTTTTATTGTCTTCGCAGTTCAGGGAGAGAATAAGAGGTCAGGGCTGGTGGTGCAGACGCTGAAGCCCGCGCTGGCTGCAGGGGAACAGGTGCCAGTGCAGTGGCTTGAGCTTGCAGGACATATGGTGGGGTCTGGTGGCTGGGGTGGATGTTCCAGTCAATCTGATCCCCAGAGGGGACTTAGGCCGTTGGACTGGATTATTTTGTGTCATTGGTGGAGGTTTCCACACAGCAGCAGGCAGCGCTTTGCTGCAGATCACCCCTGCAGGAGAGTTTTGGCCAGAATAGCTTTGTCCAAGGTGACCACAGCATATCTAGCCCTTCAGACTTCATTCCTCACAGAGCTACTTCCATCTGGGAAGAGGGTACACTCAGCATTGGCGGCGGCAGTGGGGCTGGTGGTCTGTTTTTTAGAACAGTTTACCCCAGTGCAGCATGTGGATGTGGCACCTGGACAGCTGGGTCTTGGTTTAAGGTGAGTTGTCAGCTTTCTTGATCAGAAAGACAGTGGCTGTTAGAGCATAGAGGGGACGGGGGGAAGCAGCTGTTAGCCACTGGACCCAAGTATTTGCACAGTTAGGCCACTGGGCACTCTAGGGTTGACAGTCTGAGTAAACATCATTGTTTTTGAACTCCAGGATCCAGATTTCATAGAAGCTGGCAGCTCCAAGAAATTTGTAGTTTTTTTTTGTTGTTGTTGTTTTGGTAACCAGTTCCTGCCACATATTTCAGCAGAGCTTTTGTGTCTTGTGTCTTTCCAGCAGGCAGCTTGGAAGTATCATTAACCAGAAGCGCTTTTTATTTTATTTTATTTTTTGTCTTTTTGAGACAGGGTCTCACTATGCAGTTCAGGCTGGCTTTGAGCTCACTTTGTAGCCCAGGCTGGTCTCGAACTCGCAATGATTCTCTTGCCTCAGCCTCCCGAGTGCTGCGATTACAGGCGTGAGCCACCACGCCCGGCCTCAGAAGTGCTTTTTAAAGGGAAGTTTTTGAACCTCTGGGAGGTTGAGTCCAGGTCAATTGTGGGAGTGGGGGTGGAGGTGGGGGATGGTGGTAGCTGACAGGGGCCAATCAAAGGCAGAGGAGGCATTTTTCGGTCCAGGCAGGTGTACCAGCCAGCTGCAGGTGGCAGAAGACCGAGGTAACATATATTGGGAGTAACTGGCAGCACTGGCAGCTCAGAGACCTTGGACTGGCTTTCCAGGTCGGACAGGTTTATTTTGGCAGTCTGCCAGCCTACGCCCACTCCTCAGGGGGCTGCCCCTACCCTTCCTTCTGCCCTGGAAGTCTGAGCTCCCTGCAGTGCCACACTCCTGTCCACGCCAGCTTTCTTCCTGCTCGGCCTCTTCCCAGGTCCCCAAGCCGCCTCTGCTGTGTGTCTGATTCCCACTTCTTCCTGTGACTATTTGAACATTAGTACACGGGTGAGCTCGCCCTTCTGGTGCCCACCCTGAACATGCCCAGGCAGCCCCTTCTTCCTCCCTTTCAGATGGCACAAAAGTAACCTCTGTTGCTGTTTTGTTTTTTGAGGTGCCAGGGATGAACTCAGGGTCTTGAACATATTAGGTGAGCTCCTTACTGCTAAGCTAATCACTGGCCCTCATGGTTTTGATTTATATTTTCCCCAACACCTGCATGATTGAGCCTATTTTCTGGAGAACACTACTCTTGTGGATAATATGAGAACTATAAATACTACCAAATAATATAGAGAGGTTTGTACTGCATGACAATTTAGGGTTTTTATTACTTTTAAAGATAACTAAGGCCAGTCCTGGTGGCACATCCTCCCAGTACTTGGGAGGCTGAGGCAGGAGGCTTGCCACAAATTTAAAGCTAGCCTGGACTATGTAGTGCGTTCAAGTCCAGCCTAAACTACGTAGTGAAACCTTGTCTCAAATAAACAAAACCCATGGGGCTGGGGATTTAGCTCAGTGGCATAAACGTCTGCCTTGCAAGCAGGCAGTCGTGAGTTCGATCCCTGGTATCGATAAAAACAAAAAAGACCAACCTCCCCCAAAAGTAATTGTATTTAATAGGTAACATATGCACATAGTTCAAATTTTAGAGAGTATGAGGAAATATACAGAAATATAAAGAATTATCCCATTAATATCCCTGCATTACCCAGGTACCTTCTTTATAAACAACATTTGCAGTTTTTTATATATCCATATGTAGTTTATTCATATGCTGCTGAGCTACATCACCAGCCTTTCTCAATTTTTTTTTTTTTTGAGATAGTGTCTTACTATGTAGTTCAGGCTGGCCTTGAACTCATCATGTAGCCCAGAATGGCCTGAAACTTGCAGCAACCCTCCTGCCTCAGCCTCCCAAGTGCTGCGATTACAGGTGTGCACCACCATGCCAGGTTGGTTCTCAATATATTTTTGAAGGTATTTGGTTTTGCTTGGTTTTCCTCTTGGGTGGCAAACAGAATTAATTCACAGAAAGTTTCCATACTTGCTAACACAGATAAGAACAACAAAATATGAAAATCTGGTCTTTCAGTCTAGAACCTTGCACTGGGAAACCTACTGGCTTATGCAAAAAGAGGTATGAATGCTGGCATCCAAGTCATGGTGCGTCTCCACTGGAAATATGAAACTATTATTTATTTACATTAAGGCAGGAAATACAAGTGACATTAAATAATAGTGGATAACAAGGATTTCTAGAGAAACCTTAAAAAGATTCTGATACTTAACTATTTTTTAAATAGTATCTAAGGAAATTGGCATAATATTTAAAATAATTTTCTAAAAACAAGTTTTACTTGCACAGAGCTGTGATCAAATACCTCATCTTGATGATTAAGGTTAATTCATCTGGATCTCTGTGAGCTGCTTTTAAAGCTTCAGATGCAAAGCTCCTTCCTATGCAAACCCTCCAGTGACCCTGACCCTCTGTGACTCTCTTCCAGCCACAGTGTGTTTCCAGCTGAGGAACATTCACGGCTGTACTAACAAGGCTCACTCTGTTGGTTTATGAAGAGTCGGACTTAGGAACAATTCTCCTTTAACGGAACTCGTGTGTGAGTAGAGGACTTACTGTACCCCGAGCCAGACTGCACCATGTAAAGAGCTTTTTGCACTTTATTCTCCTCCTTTGTTGTTAGCTACTTTGATTTTTCTTCCAATCCCCTCCAAGTATGTGCTAAGTGATTAAAGGCTGATATTCTGCTGTATCTCTTCTTTAAATCTCTCATGTACCTAGAACGTAATGGCACTGAGAACCCCCTTTCCCCTGATTATCCAGACCCTGTCACCCCCAAGACAGCAGATCCCTACAAGGATGCCACTGGGTCTTTCTAGGTGGGAAGGGACATACAGCCTAGTAGAACTATAGATTCTCAAAAAGTAAGACATGAACCACTTATTACGACTTGAACACATGCTGTAGGGCTGGGGATGTGGCTCAGCAGTAGAGCTTGCCTTGCATGTACAGGCCAGCCCTGGGTTTGACTCCAAGCACCAAGATAAAACATGCTGTAGTACTGGTTTTGTGATGCATACAGACACATCCACACAGAGACACAAACGTATACATAGATGTGAACACATACATGACATATACACCTAATTTTCAAAAGTACCGTACACCATCTAAGAATAAAAGATACGAAGATGACACAAGAGGTACTCATTCTCTTAGTTACTTGTCACTGGCACAAAATACCTGACACTCCCAAGTTAAAGGAGGAAAGGTTTATTTTGGCTCAAGTTTGTAGAGGTTTCAGTCCATAGCCAGCTGGCTCTGAAGCAGAGTAGCATGGCACAGGGGCATGGCAGAGGGGCATCATAGAGGATGAACAGTCCATGGCAGAGCAGACAGGAAACAGCAAGCAACAAACCTTCCTTTCCCTTTTATCCATCCATGCTACAAGCCTTTTGGATGTGCCACCCACACCCAGGGTGGGCCTTCCCATCACCCACAACCAAAACCCATCAGTGGACTAATTTAGTTTTTGCACGTTTAATCTAATAGCACACACCCATGATCCAGTCACTTTCAAAGGCCCCACCTTAGAAGCACATGAGGCTCTGAGAGGACATCGAGATATAAATCATAACACCCATATACCCACTGCTTCCATTTATGTGAAATGCTGCCAGCTGAGCCAAAGCCTGTGGCTGGCCTATACTACCCTGATCACACACACCTTTGCCTAGGAAGAAACACTGAGTCCCTGAGTTTGCTAGGATCATTACCTTTCATTTCTTTAAACCCATAGCACAAGCCAGGTATGCTAGTGCATGCCTGTAACCCCAACACTGCAAAGGCTGAGGCAGGAGGATCACCATGAGTTCAAGGCCAGCCTGGACTACATAGAAAGACCTTGTTTAAAAAAGCAAGAACAAAACTAAATAACCCCCTGCAGTATATATGTAGAGATGCCTGACCAATTCATAATTTTTTTGGTGTGTGTCTTTTTTGTTTTTACCGGTACCGGGGATCGCACTCACGACTGCCTGCTTACAAGGCAGGCACTTATGCCGCTGAGCTAAATTCCCAGCCCCTTCAATTCATATTTTTTAAAACTATACAAATAACATGGACTTTACATAAATGTTGTAGTAAATTTTTTGGGGGGATCATGATTGAGGTTCAGCCTCTGTGGTTGTTTCCATTGGTGTATATTTGACTTAACTGCTGATATGCATTGCAGTTTGCTCCCCACTGTTCTGGCGGTGGGTAGCTCCAGTTTGTAACTATGATAAGCAGTGTCACTGTTGACATTCTTCCACAATTCATCTGGTTTGTATTTTATTTATTTTGCAGTGTTGGCAATTGAACTCGGGGCCATCATGAATGCCAGGCGAATGTCCAGCCCTGAGTGACGTGGCTGGCTCATTTAGGACGACTCTGGAGCTGTGTGTGACCAGGTATGGCAAGAGTGCTCTCATCTCCGGATTGTATCTGCAGGTGTCACATTGGGGTCCCCTGGGCTCTCCACCTTCCATATGCATTACTGTCATGCTTTTGGTTATGGCCAGATTCATGAATATAGACTAGCATCTCACTTTGTTTTTATTTATTGAAGTTATTCTTTTACCCAACATTGGAAAGTTTTTTGTTGTTGTTTTCTTTTTTCTTCTTTGTTTTATTTTTTGAGACAGAGCCTTGCTATATAGACCAGGTTGGCCTTGAACTTGGAGCAACTATCCTGCCTCAGCTTCCCCAATGCTAGGATTATGAGTGTATCATCCATCCTACCCAGCAGGAGAGGTTGATTTACTGTTGTTGTTGTTTCTTTTTTGTTTTTTAAACTATGAATTGGGGGTTGTATAGTAAGTAATTTGACCTCACCCAACTTCTCAGAGATAATTGGTCTCTGAGCCTTGGAGCTTCTCCTTTTGGAGAGGCATCTTGTATGTGTGTGTGTGTGTGTGTGTGTGTGTGTGTGTGTGTATACCAGGCACTGAACTCAGGACCTCGTACTTGCCAAGTAGACACTGCACCACTGAGCTGTATCCTCAGACCCTGGAAAGGCATTTGTTTGCTCGGGGGTTTGATGCCAGACAGACCAGCTGTATGACTGGTGGCATAATGCACAGTGGCAGCTTTTGGTCACCTAGTGTCATGGACCCTGCTAAGCCAGGTCAGCCACATCAGTGCAGGCCATGGAGCCCCCAAAGGAGCATAGACACCAAGGCCTGGGGACAGTGACCTGGCTGACGATACCCCACCAGTACACTCCGTCCAAAACTCTTGAGACCAGCAGGATTGTGGATTTCAGATTTTTCCCCCCAGATTTTGAAATATTGGCAGGCAGATAAGGAGACAGGTTGGGAACAGGGCTCAAGCTTATGGGGCACCTAACACCCAGAGCCAGAGGTTATGTTACAGGTCTTCAGTCTGCCTGTGTTTGAACCGGACAGGGCTGGAATTCTCCCCAGGGAGTCCCATCAGGCAGAGCCCAGAATTTCAGGTTTCAGCCTTCTGCTTTAGGGATGTGCATGACCTGTGTCACCACACTTCTTGGCTGGGAAAGGAATGCTGTCCTGACCTCAGGGCAGGGACCATGGTGCCTCTGCATCTGGCCCTATCTGGATTCTGCCCTGCTTTGTCCTTTGGCTCATTTTTAATCTTTTAAGGATTTCTGAAAGGCCTGTTTATTTTAACCTTTCCCCTAAGATAGGCTGTAATTGCTAGCGTAACTGCTCTGAGTTCTGCAGTTCTTCTGTTGGATGCTCCAACCTCAAGTGGTCCTGCAAACCCCAGCATTGAGGCTCGCTGAGGGATGAGCGGATCCTGGGCCCTGCCCCTCCTAACCATGCAGAGTGGAAGCTTTCTTGCTCTTAGCCTTTTGCTTGTGTTAGTTTAAAACAACTGATTTGAGAAGTCCTGATGTACTCTTTTTGGTCTTTTGAGACAGGGTCTCATTATGCAGTTCAGGCTGGCCTTGAGCTCACTTTGTAGCCCAGGCTGGTCTTGAACTCACAACGATCCTCCTGCCTCAGCCTCCCGAGTACTGGGATTACAAGTGTGTGCCACCGTGCCTGGTTTATTTTCACAGTTTATATATAGTTGGAAGTATCTTTTGGAAATTTGGTAGCACTCTTGTGTAAAACCCTCCTGATTTAGTGTTCTCTCTTTTTTTTGAGACAGGGTCTTACTGTATAGTTCGGACTGGTCTTGAACTATGTAGCCCAGGCCAGTTTCCAATTCTTGGGTCATTTTCCTGCCTCAGCCTCCCAAGTGCTGGGATTACAGGTATGTAATCCCATCACGCCCAGGCCCTAGTGCTTATGACACAATTCTCAAGCTCCAATTCAATTTTAAAAGGGGGCTGGGGATTTAGTTTAGCAGGCAGAAGCACCTGCCTGGCAAGCGCTAGGTCATGTTTTTTTTATCGGTACCAGGGATCGAACTCATGAGCACTCCTTGCAAGGCAGGTGCTTATGCCGCTGAGCTAAATCCCCAGCCCCCTAGGTCATGAGTTTGATTCCTGGTACTTAAAAAAAAAAGACAGATAAACTCAATTTTTAAAATGGTGAGGATATAGCTATCTATTCTATTCCTTAAGATTTTGAAAGTTGCTTTTAAAATAAAATATATTGATCTTATCTAAATTTTCAAATTTATTAGCATAGCTAGGTGTAGTGGTGCACATCTGTATTCCTAGCACTTGGGAGGCCAAGGCAGGAGGATCACAGTGAGTTTAGGGCCAGCCTGGGTTACATGATTGAGTTCAGGGCCAGTCTGGGCAACACAGCGAGCCCCTGTCTAAGAAAAGAAAAAAATTCTTCGCCTAGGATTGTTGGAATGTGCTCTTCCCAGGTAGGTAATTGCTGAGAAGTCTTCAGTTTCCTAACTGATCATTCCTCGAAGCCTTCTCTCGCTCCTCTTTCATCAGCTTTGCCGCAGGGCTGTCTATTTTATGATGAAGAGAAATTACATTTAGCAGCGCTCAGCAGGGCTCAGCTGAGATGATCCAGTTTTGCTGGCAGCACAAAAGCATGGTAGGCAGAGCCGGGGGACCCGCGCCTCCTCTCTATCGCGGACACAGGCACTGGCGCAGGACGCTACCATTTAGCTGCTGCATCTGGTGCGACTCTTGTGTCCTGGTCCTCCAGATTCCCAGGGCTGTCTTTGGGCCGGGGCACGCGAAGCACCATAGTGGCGCCTTTCTTCTGCAGCTCTTCCTGGGCCCCTGGGCTGCAGAAAGGTGGGTGCTTGGCGGCTGCTATTTGGAGCTGGGGTCGCCTCTCAGGTCTGTCTTCCAGCACTCCGGGAAAGGAAGAAGCTCCTCCTCCCACCTCTCCAAGCCCTGGCACCCTCTAGGCAGAAGGCGCCTGCTTATTAGCCTGCTTTGGCTTTCTGGCCTTCTATTTATACAACAGTTAGCTTTATTTTTTCTGTCTTCTTAACTTTCCGCACCTACACTGCAGGAATATTTGACCACTGAACTGCATCCCTGTGTTTTTAAATTATGGATTTTGCTGCTTTAAAATTTCTTAAAAGTGCAACACTTTAAGCACATGCCTATATCCCTGTACCAAGGGAGGCTGAGGCAGGAGGATCAAAAATTTAAGTTCTGCATGGGAAATCTAGGGCAACCGTGTTTCAAAATGTAACAAAGTGGAGTGGGGTGGGGATGTAGCTGGGTGGTACTGGTTTGATCCCCAGCACTGCAAATGTAAATAAATAAAATAAATCGGAGCACACTGCCCTTTAAACTTTAGTGCCCCCCACCATTGGTATTTGAGGGTCTGAATTTACATTAACACACTGCTTTTGAAGCACTGCACAAGTACTGTCATCTTTGATTCTAATCCATAATAGCTACCACAATTTCTACTCTCGTATCAGTTTTCCATGTCTTTCCAATTCTTAATTTCCACTGGCACAATAACGAGACACATTTATTGATAATCTGAGATACACATAATATGTAACAATCCTAATGGTGTTGGCTTTAAATTTAAAAAAAAGAGGCCAAAGATTTAGCTCAGTGGCACAAGCACCTGCCTGGCTAGCAAGCACAAAGTTGTGAGTTTGATCACCCATACCAAAAAAAAAAAAAAAAAAAAAAGAAAAAAGAAAAAAAGGAACCAACCAACAAACAAAAAATGAGTAGGAGAAACTATAAAATCCTCTGAGAGTAGCAAATCTATAATATGATTCTGTGGCTGGAGAAACTTGGTTCCACAGACTTCAGCTGATAATTAGTAAAATGATTACTGATGATACTCCATGAGAATTTTTTTTTTTTTTTGTCTTTTTCGTTTTTATAGGTACCAGGGATCGAACTCACAACTGCCGCTTGCAAGGCAGGCGCTTATGCCGCTGAGCTAAATCCCCAGCCCCTATCCATGAGAATTTATAAAGCAAATTTGTACATTTTTTCACGTTAAGAAGATAACTTTTCTCTTCCTACTGGGCTCAGTTCCCATGAACTTAGACAACTGATAAACCAAGGGAAAGAATTGCCTGTGGATGCTTTTGACTTTGTAAAACCACAGGTCATTTTATCCCTTTCCTGTTTCTATTTCTTTGCTTTCTCGTGCAGAATTGACGTCCTTCCTGTTAAAAACAGCTCCATCAAAACATTCTTCCCATCACATCCTGAAATGAACGGTACTGAGTAATTAATTTTGATTCTTTTTTTTTTTTTTTTTTTTTTTTAAATTTTGATTCTTTTTGAGCTGTCAGTGATCTGTCTGTTTCTTCCTGAAGAGCTAACTCAATGCCTTCTTATTTGTAAGGTTTCCTTTTCTTTTTTTTCTTCCTCGAGACAGTGTCTCACTATGTTGTTTAGCCTGAACTTAAACTCACTGTGTAGCCCAGACAGGCCTTGACCTCGTAGTGACCCTCCTGCCTCAGCCTCCCGAATGCTGGGATTACAGGCGTGCACCACTATCTGCGGTTTATTCTCAACCGTATCATCAGCTAAGTTTCAAAAGTTAGTTTTCACATACCATTCAAAAATATACATCGAAGAAAAATTTTTTTCCTGTACAGGGGATTGAATCCAGGGTGCTGAGCTGTGCCCCCAGCACATTTTATGAGACAGGGTTTCCCTAAGTTATCCTGCCTCGGCCTTCTGAGTGAGCAGGGTTCCCTGTGAGGCCCACTATGCCTGGCCTGCTGTTCCACTTCTGAAAGAATGAAGTTCCCGAGGTTTTGTTGAGACTCTAAACCGGATGGAAAATTAGGGCTTGCTAGCTCTTTTAGGAGCAGAGTTATCTGGTTTTCTATTTCAAGCTCCTGATGATCTTGACATAAAAAGGGCATCCCTGCCTCCAAAGTTTCCTGCTAACCAAAGCTAGGACAGGAATAGGTACTACTTTGCTTTAATATGCACGTCAGAAAACTTGGACTTTAAAATGAATGGAATTTACAAGCTCTTTAAAAGAAAAACTATTCTTTGCAGAATATG